TAGAATTAACTGAGCCATGGTGACAAGCACAGAAAACAGGATTCCTGGTGAACCTCTGATAACCCCAAGCAAGAGAAAAAGCAAACACATGGAATTAGCTATATATAACTTCAAACCACTGTCTATTGGTGAGTCACAAAGACTCATATTAGCAGAATGAAAAAACTTTATAAAAAGTTTTTTTTTAAACCACATAAAGTTCCATATAAGAAAAGTCACAGGATTGGAAGTTTTAAGGAAAATCAAAGCTTGGCTTCAAATAAGCTTTCCTCAACAACAAAAAACAAATAAGCTTTCCTCTGGGGGTAAATAAAGACTGCAGCATCTGCCTTCAATCCATTCTTGACTGGTTAGGATTGGCACATCCTATAATAACTCCTCAGTGTTGATTTCACAAAAGATAAGCAATCTACTATTAAGAAACGAAGAGAAATCATTAAAAAGTTACATCAGAGACTCACAAACAACCCTACCACGATTTACTAACAAGAAAAGAGTATATAAAATTTATCTTCAGAGAAGGTAAGTTTGTGCAATTTAATTGCTTACCTCCCAATTACAGACATTAAAACTCCCAACAAGCAATTTAAGAACCCAGTGTTCCACAGTATCTGCATTTTGGTTAAAATTAAACAAAGATTAACATCTGGCCACAAGACCTAAGTGAGTAGGAAATGGGAGAAAGAAATATTCACGTTGGGAGTTTGTACATACATGGACAAATCAAATTTCCACAGAGGAAGCAAAATAAATGAAATTATTTCTCCGAATTTCTACAGAACATGTTAGAGTTTCATTTTTACATCATCTGAAGTGGTTGCCTACTTGTTTTATGAGTGTAAGCCTTATCTTTTGCAGTAAAATATTAAGTTCTCGGGGTAGATTCAGGTTTTTGCAGAGCATATGGAATTTGAAGGGCCCTCTCTAAGAAAAAGAATACAAAATTGTGAATACAATTTATGTAAGAGAGTATTGCAAGTAAGTGAATGACCCTGGAGGTTAAGTACCAACAGCTTCACAGTAAATTCACCACAAGGGTGAGAACCAGCCAAGTCATATTTCTGTTTCACGCAAATGCTGTCTTGCAGAGTACTGGGTATTTTATAGGCATTCAGTGCTTGTTGATTCCACTCATTACAGAGGCAAGCAAAGGACAGGACTAGGAGATGAAATTTAAGGACAAGCCATGGCCCATCCAAACAGGTCAAGATAAATCTTAACTCTTTTGTTCAGTTATACCTTAAATGATAGTTTGAACTAAATTGAATTTGAATTCTGAATTCAAATTATGAATTTGAATTCATGCTGATTGTGTTATTTATTAACTGTCATCCAGTTAATCTTTTAAAAATCCAAAAATGTGTATCTCCTATATAGAACAAAGAGAAGATTTTAAAAATCATCAAATAAAAGCTGGATGTACATGAGTCACAGGCTAAACACTCTAGTTCCTGTGTGTATGTCCACTACTTAGGATGAACAGCTGGATTCATGTGCACTCCTTTACTGACTGTGGACATCTATGGCCTATTATCAGTAGAGTTGCCCCATAAGTAGAAGAGGTTGCCAATTCCAAAGGAAAACTTGTAGGAGTTTTTGATGGGTTGACCTATTTCCCCATATACTGTTGGCCAACCATATACTGCATATACGGCATCCTCTATATACAGATGAAATAGCAAAAAGAAAAGTCATATAATTATCCAAGTTCTACTTATAGGTGTGAGATACTATACAAGCAAACAAACCATGAAAGAAATGACTCACTAATCCCACAGGTTCATACTCCAAGCTTAACATTTTAAGTGCTGCCATGCAAAAAAATACAGAACTTTCTATCTATGCTGAAGTCCAGAGTTATCCTTTCCAGATCAATGCACGATAAAGGATAGATAGACATTTTGTCAATGTTCCTGAATATGAACATATGAATAACCATCAGTCCAAATGATGTTACTCTGCCTTGCATCTACTGAGGAAAATATCTTGAGAAGAACTCACTGTTATCAATAACCTTAACCACACTGGAATAGAACTTTATTATTAAAGGCCTTACTTAAGACTGATAGATATGACTGCATAAAAAAAATTGCTTTAAATGTCTCCATGAAAAATATTAATAAACAACTTTTATTTTTTTAATATTTATTTATTTGAGAGAGAGAGTACATGAGTGAGCGTGGGAGGGAAGGGCAGAGGGAGAAAGAAACTTAAACAGACTCTGAGAACCAAGAGTCCAACACCCAACCCAGGTGACCCATTAATAAGCAACTCTTAAAACCAAGGGTCGCCTGGGTAGCTCAATCAATTAAGCATCTGCCTTCAGCTCAGGTCATGATCCCGAGGTCCTGTGATCTAGCTCCGCGTCAGGCTCCCTGCTCAGCAGGAAATCTGCTTGCTTTTCCCTCTAACTCGCCTCCCTGCTCCCCAACCCCCGCCCCCCGCTCATGCTCTCTCTCTTTCTCTTAAATAAATAAATTAATAAATGAATTAATAAATAAAATAAATAAAACCAAAGGAACAAATTAGGAAAAATATTTCTAACATATGATAGGCAAAAAATGAATTTCATAATATTAAAGAATTATAATCAGATGATCAATAATCAGATGACAATATTTCAAAATAAAAATAAGAAAAGGATATGAACAGACATAAACAGAAAACACAAATGCCCAGTATATGTTTTAAAGATGCTAAACCTCATTCACAAATGTAAGAAACATAAACTTAAAAGCAATGAGCTATTTTTCAATGGACAGATCATGATAGAGATGGTTTCAATGGCAGAGGTGAAAACATCCATAGTTCACAAGGGTGTGGGGAAAGCGAAGGAACAGGCAACTCTCATTGTCTGTGACAGGAATGTGGCTGATACAGCCTTCTGGAGGGTGATTTAGCAACACCTTTCACATTTTAAAATGTTTATATATTTTGTCCCATTGATCACTCTTCTGTGAAATTATCCTATAGAATTCTCAAAGATATATATTCAAAGACACTCTTTGCAGCATTGTTTAAAAATTTTAAAAATAAATTAAAAAACTAGAGAGAGCTTAACTGTCCAACCATAGAATAATCTATTCAATAAATACTATAAGGCCACTAAAAAGAATATGGTAATCCATCTATATGTCATTTTGAAATAACAGTATCTTACATTTCTTGAGCTTTCAATATGCCAGCCCCTATTCTAAGCTTTTCGCACATGTTAATTCTCTTAATGAATAAAAAGTCTCTAAGACGGGGTGCCTGGGTGGCTCAGTCATTTGAGCATCGGACTCTTGGTTTTGGCTCAGGCATGATCTCAGGGTCATGAGATTGAGCCCCACATTGGTCTCTGGGCTCATCGGGGAGTCTGCTTGAGATTCTCTCTCCCTCTCCCTCTGCCCCTCCCCTGACTTGTGCTCTCTAATAAAATAAATAAATCTTTAAAAAAAAATCTCCAAGACAGATAAGTAAAAAAACAAAACAAAACAAATTTGCAGAACAGACTGTGTACTATGATTCTATTTATATCATATAAAAATATTTTTGACAAATATCAAATATGAACAAATATTATATATATTTATATAAGGGTATGTGTGTGTATATATATGTATATATGCCCAGAAAAACTGGGGAAGAATACAAAAGGAATGGTCTACAGTGATTACCTAGGAGGAGTGGGACTTGAGGGAAAAGAAAATGTTTACTTTCATAATTTTCTGAATTGTTTGAAATTTTCACTATATATATATATATATATATATATATGGATTACTTCTTTTTTTAAAGATTTTATTTATTTATTTGAGAGAGAGAGACAGACATAGTGACAGAGATAGCGAGAGAGAGCACGAGCAGGGGGAGAGGGACAGAGAGAGAGGGAGAAGCAGGCTCGACACGGGGTTTGATCCCAGGACCCTGGGATCATGACCTGACCAAAGGCAGACGCTTAACCAACTGAGCCACCCAAGGGCCTCTATTACTTCTATTTTTAAAATGTTAATACGTGTTATCTGCCTAACTAGATTATGGTTATTTAATTTTTTCTTTCTACTTCTACAGTTTTTTTAAAAAACCTAATAAAAGATATCTGGGAAAATGTAGCAATATGAGAAAACATGAATGTTTCTTTTTATACCCTTCTATGAGCACATGAGCGTATAATACTTTCAAAATTTTTTTAAAACCTAGCTAAAAGTCAGCATTCAACTACTCCAACAAAAACATCCTATCTCATTTCCTTTCTTATGCAGGAAACCCCAGGATATAAGGATTTAGATGAGAACTCTCATGTCTCTAGAACAATTGTCTGACTGATGACTTTCTTCCTCCCAGTATCAAGTCAATTTAATAATAATTTATTAAAAGGTCAAACTTAATTATAAATAAAGCAAAAATGAGGGGGAAAATATAATTATCAGTGTGAATTATAATATACACTGCTCTGCTATGTGTAACATGTGACTTAACAACATAACCTGAAGATAATATTTATGTGCACGTCCCTAAAGCAGTCGATGCACAATAATTGTTAATAATATCATCACCATCATTATTGAAGCTACCATCCATTAGCTTCTTCCTACAGGTCTAATACTGAACTCCATGCTTCACATATATTATTAGCATATTTAATTCTCCCAGCAACCCCATAAGATTCCTGGTTACTGATTATTTACTAGAATAATATAAAATTATTAACATACGGAGAAAATTTTAGGGTGGCAAATAGTAACTGAAACCTACACACAACTGAGTCTAGATTTATAGCATGTACTCCTAAATATTTTATAGATTTTTTATAAGGTATTTCTACCAGAAATAAACCATAAAGTGGCTCCTGAATGGCCTTCGTGCCACTTGTTCCAAAAGCTATTCCTTCCAGTTAATCCTTTCTCACGCATGCCACTCGGCATACTGAGTGCAGGTGAATCCAAAACGCACGCCTTCTCTCTGCAGAAAGCCTTTCTCGTGTTTCTTTCATCTCGCAAACTCCGTTAGAGTCTTACCTGTCCAGCAGCAGTTCGAGCACCTCTTTAGTGGAGGCAAAGCCTCTGTACGTTGACAGGAAGATGCTGATATAGGTAAAGTCATTGTCTCCAAAAGCCGTCAGCAGGTTCTCCACCAGCTTCTCCAAGGTGCCGGCTTTGATGGTCCTGATCTTACAGGTTTCATACTGACTGACTGTATGTCCTGGAGGCAGCTGGTCCCCTTCAACCTGTACAATGAATTCATGATTAGGATCAGGCGAAATGGCTCCCCACAGTAAAACCGAGAATACTGAAACGGTTGAAACACAACCTGTCACGTTTTCCCTGCTTTTATTTCATTTCCCTACGAGCCATGTAAGGCAATTCTCTCACCTGTGAGTGTAGCAGAGCGAGGTGGGGGGGAGAGGGGGGTGTTACTTTACTTCATGGTGCTTACACTTGCTTCTACTTGATCCCCTGTCAAGAACCTGGTTGCTGGCCTAGAGAGGATGTTTCCCGTTGACCCCAGAATCAAGCTCAGCAGAAGTTAATCGATCATTTCCTTTGTATTGTTCCATGGTAAGCTGTCAAACTCATTCTTTTTTTTTTAATTTTATTTTATTATGTTATGTTAATCACCATACATTACATCATTAGTTTTTGATGTAGTGTTCCATGATTCATTGATGTCAAACTCATTCTTAAAGACAGCTCCTATGGCGGTGTGCTGGAGCTGACACATACTGGCTTTGAAGAGGTGACTGTTAGATTTTTAGGATTTGTGTGAGCCAGCTGACACTGTTACTAGGCTGAAAGACCAGCCTTGGTAGGAGCATGATCCCCATGGAAATCTCTGGAGATCTAACCATGGTCTGATATTCTTCAACCCACAAGAAGCAACAGCCTTCCTGATTCAGTATCATCAGCAATCAAGGGAATTGACCCAGAAGTGGCTGGACCAAGGAGCCCTGGGCTATGGTGGAAAGGGTGAGTGGGTATATGACCCCTGCCTCCTGGAGACTTGCAATGAATAAGAAAAGACATGGGCTCCTGAGAAGTAGCTATCACAGGAGAACGACACTGTGGATGGCATTGGCAGGTATAACCGCACCTTGGGAGACATAAAACTTACCAACTGATTATGGATAAGATACGCAAAGCTTAAAATTGAGTCTGAGGGAAGAGAATTAAACTGAAGAAAAATAGGAATGTACCTTACCTCCTGCCATAAATCTCTGCCTCACAAATTCTATAGAGATGCAATTTTCAGCTTATCTTGTCCTTCACAGGCACGAAGACGACCTACTGAGAGGATCTTTTTCTAAAGCAAACCATCACTGTCAGTGAGGCAAACAATCACCAGGTGGTTTTTCACAACAGTAAGTTTGAATTGTTGCATATCAGATTTTCCTAAACTGAAAAGGCCAGAAATAGCCAGACGTGTGAAAATCGAGGAAGAGGAGCAAAGAAGAGAGAACCGATCTTTAAATGATGACCCTGCACTCACGAAGCCTCACGTTTGCTTTTTCTTCACCTGGCCTGTCAGATGTTCAACCACTGGAAGGAAATTAACTGGCAAGACTGCTTCCAGTAGGACCAAAGTGGTGGCTATCACTTTCAGAAAAGGGTGAGGGTAGCTCAACGTCATGATGTCTAAATGCTAACGGGAATGAATAGTAAGACTCCACCTTCCACAGTGGATGACTTTATTTCTTTATTTCCTTCTTGAAGGATACTTTGACTTTACTAAGGGGAGGGATCTGGTTCAGGCAAAACACCAAACATTTCTGTAGGCCTCTTTGGCCTGATGACTCAGATCATGGCCTAGTAACTGTCCTTTATCACTCTATACGTAGTTTTAAAACAGGCCTAATAGTATCCGTCTGTCCTCCCAGGAGTGTCAATCCACTTTAAGCAGAAACAATAAGTGGAAAGGATATATGGCTCCAAAGTCTAATTACTTTTTTACTAGTTAGTACAGTGTTGCCCTACATGGGTGCTGTAAACACGAGTTCTAAAACAAAAGGTCCTGTGGCCAAGTTTGGGAACTCCAGAGTAAAACAAAGTCAAATACATTTCTTTACTGCAGATTTGTCTTTAACATGCTAACGTATTATGAAACTCTAAGAGAAGGATATGATACATGATCCTTCCAAATGGATTTCCCTTTATTCTCACGGCATCTTGCAGACCTCAGAATGAACATATTTTGGAAAATGTTAGCTTAGTAAGTCACTGTAATGCATTTAAGCCATATTTCACTTTTGCCACTTTTCACTTAAAAAAAAAGACATGATAAAATACAATAATGTTAATTTTTATCTTCCAACATCCCTATCCATTTGACCTCTTTCTTAATACCAAAATGTAGGGATGTTTTCTATGTTTTACTTTGTCACTTCAAAAGAGCTGGTTCTAGAAAAATGATCAGCCTGATAATATTAAAAAGTAGTTAAAAAATATGCTTCGATGTCAAATGTTAACATCAACATTGAAAGGCACGGCTTCTCATTCTTGAGAGATATTCAAGCTCTAATTCTAAATCAAGTTTCTTTACCTTGTGACACTGTTTCCTTACCAAACAGTCTTGTAATTTGAGGGTTCTTATTTTACTCACCACGTAAATCCCGCTTTAAATCTTTTCTTTATTGAAAGCAAAAACGACTTAAAAGAACTAATTTTTCCCTGAGCACCGATGTAGCCAAAAATTCAAACACAGAGAAAAATACTTGTCAAAGGACCTGATGAAGGGGGTCCCCTTTCCTGCCAGAAAGCAGATTTGGCAGGAAGCCAAGTCCCTCCCTCGGGAATGGAGTCCTGCTACTCATTAACCCAGTCACTTCCTTTGGTCCTCCTTTTCCTCTGGAAAAAAGGATCTCTATACGCATGCCTGATCCCCATACCTCCCTCTAATGGTTTTTGTTCCTCAGTGTTTGCATCTGTACATTAGGAAGAACCATGTTTGACCTAACAGAATAGCTCATAAATACTTTGATTATTTAGATGTTAAGAATTATTCTCTAAGTGCGATGAGTGAGCATGAATGACAATATCAAATGAACTACGGGAATTGCTCTGGTACCTACAATCATTCTCACAAAAATTTCACAATGCGTGTTAAGGTGTCAGAGCACTCGCTTCATGTCATGTTCTGCACATTTGCTAAGCACCCTAATATCAACTTGCTAGAGCAGAGGGAAGGTTTCTGAAGACGAGTTTTAATTTACCAACCCTCAAATAGAGTACATTTTTGTGAAACAGAAATTTTGAAATTATCTGCTTATTCCTGGAATTACATGGAAATAAAATTATACAAAACTGAAACAGAAAACCTAAATCTGCTGTATGATTCACACCGGAGAAGCTAAAATCTTCGTTTAATTTTTGCAGCAAAATATCCACTAGCTACAGGACCCTTTCAAGAGACTTTAGGATCTGTTTTTATATGTAATATCTCAATACCTTTGAATTCTAGTTTAAAAGGAAAGTGGGGGAGGCAAGGGGAGAGATTTGGCAGACAAGTGTTTAATAACCCAGACTCGGAGAGGAATACATGGAGGGCTGAGCCTGCCCTCTGGGTTAGCACACTAACAGGAAACAGCTCAATCTGGATCTAATCAGAGACCATCATTTTACTGACAAGATCATGATACCAAGGCCACAAAAATGTTTCAGGATTTTTTTTTATGGTGGGGGGGGGACAGCAATCTCTTTGCCATTAGAATTCAGTGTTTCCTGAGAGAACATGTCTGACTCCTATGGGGTAAATATCTAAAACTCTGCCCAACTGTCCTAGCTGAGGAATTTCCATAATTATCCATTTGGCACGAGGAGGACGGGAGAAAAGACATGGAGAAAGACTCTTTCACCTTCTGAAAACATAAACTGTTAACAACTTGGGTGTTTCTAACTTGGAAAAAAAAATGTCCTTCAATCAAAATAATACTTCAGTCATCTGATACTTTTTAATAGGGGACATGCTAAGTAAACAATCTCATTAAACTGGAGACAGTACTTCTCCAAGCCATGCTCAACCTTCAGTACATCAGTTCTGGGGCATCCTGGCCTCAGCAGGAATGTCAACTGCGAGTCCTTTTCCAGTCATAACTCTCTAACAAAATCTAAAACCCACATCCCGGGTTTTACAGATTTTAAGAAGGTACACACTGCTAACTCTACATTCAGCCCAGAGCACCAAGGGGTACATGTAATATTCTCTTTTCAAAACAGTGCACCATCCAGCCAAACGAAATGCTGCACAAATAGGCTCTGACCATCTGTCTAGATTGCCCAGATATATATAGATTAAATGTCCTTGCCATGCAAAGGAAAACACGCGTGTAGGTAATGGTACACAGCACAGTGTTATGGCAAGGCCCGTGCACGTGAGTATTGTGAGCTATGCACACATAAACCATTCAGAGATGTAAGGCACAGTCTGTACAAAATCCTAGGGCAAGTGATGTCAAGCTCAGTGTGAGCTTCTGCATTGTGTGAACTACTTCAGATGTGAACTCATTTTTTTTTTTTTTGCTAGGTTAAGGTTGCCAGGATGCTCAGTTAAATTTTAATTTCAGATAACTAATGAATAACGGGATACTTGTAGTATTTAGGACCAACTCATACTAAAACGTTATTTGTTGTGTATATGAATTTCAAATTCAACCTGGCATCCTGTATCTTTAACTTTATTTGGGAAGGCTAAGCTAAGTGCATACAGGGAGGAAAACATGGATCTCTCTTTTACTTATTTAGCCACACATAAACTAACAGTGCTATGTGCCAGGCACTGTACAAGGGAATAGAAACAAAAAGGTAAAGAGCATGCAGTTCTGACACCAGGGTTGCTTGGTCTAACGGAGGAAACAGACACAAAGAAACCATTATGATGCAAAGTGAGTTAAAAAAAAAAAAACAAAAACACAGAACAGAGATAGATAGGCAGATTCACAGAAGAACCAGGAGGGACCCAGCCTAAAGGTGGCATCAGAAAAGACATCCTAAGTAGGGGATGCTTGCACCGGCTTCTAAGTTATGAGTAGGAGTTAACAACGTTGGGGAGGATGTAGCAGAGACACCAGCACAAACAAAGGCATTGAGAAAAGAGGTGTGACAGTGGTGGGGGAGACCAGGAAGATGATACAATGCTTACAGGAGCAATAAGACCAAAGGAATGGACAGCTCAGCCAAAGAGTCAGCAGGGAACTACCTGATAATAGAGGATGCTGGTCAAATCCTAAAAAGCTTA